ACATGGCAATCACTGTGTGTGGGTGAGGGCGGCAGGGAGGCGGCGGTCAGTTGCTGCTGGAGTGCACCGACCGTTGCGGCCATATTTCGTTCCAGAATTTCCCTCGAAGTGCGCAAAATGTTGCGGCTAACAATGGAAAAGGCCATTTTTCGTATTCTCTTCTTTTGCTTCTTCTCTGTAACTTCTTTTTGTTGTTGTTTTTGTACGCTGTTTGTCTGTCTGCAGTTTTAGATGCACTGAATCAAGAAAATGTGCAACGTTGCTTGGTTTTGTTTGTTTGTAATGTTTTCTTGTGCATTTAACAACCGGTTATCAGGGGACAAATAACTTCACTTAAAAACTTGTAAAAAAATGTTTATTGCAAGTTCGTTTTTGCGTATTACACTTTTATTTCTTCCACTTCTTCAAACTTTTCCTTGGACTTCGTTTTTGCTTCTTTTTTCACTTCTTCTTCGACTTCAACTTCTTTTACGGAGCGAAAACAACCGTTTTCTGAGGCGTTCGAAAATGTTTTGACGCAGCCCGACGCGGTATGGAACGAAGACAACGTCGACGCACAGTGGCTCGTTTTCTCAAAACATGCAGCTAAAATAATAACATCAAATCAAAAGCCTCAAACCTGATTTATACTTTTTGATTTGGTAAAAAAAATAAATTTAACTGAGTTCCGACGTCTTAATCCAACTTTTTACTGAATTTTGTATATGTAAAGAGATGTAATATGTTGTATCAAATGTACCGAGTTGTTAGCTTTATCAGTTTCATATAATAGGTAGCAAAAATGATGACTAGCCAATTCCTTATTGAAGATATATATATATATATATATATATATATATATATATAAATTCAATAACTCGGAACATATAATGATTTTCGAAAACAAACCACTGTGCGGCGCTTGTAACGACAGAGCGCTGTTGCTCTATGGATGTGTACGTGAGTGAAAAGAGGACAAGAAGTATGCCAGCATAGAAGGGTGCGCGGGGAGCACAGCTGCTGCTACATAGCTCGAAAACAGCGGCACGATGTTGCGAGAAGCATACAATACATACATACAAAAAAACACACACATAGACCCCAATAGACATTGTCAGTGGCACGGGTCGTTGGAGAGGGGGGAATGTAAGCCGGTTAAAGAAAAGCTACCAACAGATGTTAGCGATGCTGCTCTTGCAGTCCCTGTAAAACGGTACAGTGGCGGCAAGAGAAACTGCATTATGTAAACACAAACATACACACTCACGCACGCACAATGGGCCGAGCCGACTAATTTACCATTGATAAAGTAAACGAAAAACAAAATATATAATAATATTCGTATTTAGGTCGCGGCGTGTGACAAAATGTGAGCACCAGAGCTACCCTCTGTAGACTTCCCCACTTTCAAGCCCTACACACGCATAGCAGCGACGCCAGCAGAGGCGACGCTCCGTTTCTGTTCTACTTCCTTGCCTCACGCATGTGTTTACCCACTCACACACCCACATTTTACATGCGTTACGTTCAGTTTTGTGTCTGGCTGGTATATGTACATACATATGTACATATAGTGGTCTTGATCAAACAAAGCGCCCTTCTGTCCCCCTTCCCACAACAAGCACATATGCATGCATGCTAAGTGGACTTGGCTCCGAAAAATGTATAAATGGGAAAATGAGAAAGAATATCAAGATCAATACAGAGAAAATGGAGCGGCACTGCTCTAACAAAACTGCAACGAGTTGGCCCCCACACTACGTCTCGCCACTGCACAGTTTTTGTTGAATAGAAAAGAGTGCACTGCACTCTGTGGAGGCTTGGGCGCCTCGCCTCGAAACATGTGTTTGTTGGGAAGTTTCCAGAACGGTTTATGCGTCGACAAAGCGTGATGTTGGCTTGCATGTTCAACAGCGTAGAATAATATGGAGGGTTTGGAATTTGGGAAGGAACATTTTATCGTTCGGGAAGTTTTCAGTATAACGTAGTCTGTGAAATCAAAGTTTTGCATGCTCCTAAATAAGTACGCACCTAAAACCTTTAAACACGATTAGAAACGACCTGCGCGCATAAACGAAAACAGTTGCTGGGTGGACGACGTGTACAAGAACAACGGTGCACCTCGAGACTCGGGCGACTGATAAAATGTCACGTAACAAACCAGGCGCCAGGCCTAGCAACAAACAGGGTTGGCTGCAAATGCAACAGTCTCCGTCTCTTTCTGTTTTAGCATGTGCATGTTATCAATACATACTTATATTACACTCTGTTTGAGGCTGCACCTGTACCTGCGCACCCGCAAACAGCACATTGAACCTACCATCCCTTCTGGACAGGAGCCACACGACAGTGCAGTCAGCAGACGTCACAGCAGACATGATCCACATAGCAATCAAGGGCTTTCCAAAAAAGTGTAAAAAGCGACAATTAAAATGCGTAATAAACGAAAAGCGTGAGCCCCTAGCTTGGGGCTGGGGTCTGGGCTCGAGAATTAATTGGGGGCTGATGTCTAGGCTTGACAAATACTTCGGTAGTGGGGTCTGGGGCGTGTGCCAGGTTAATCAGTATGTGGATCTTGTTCCTTGCCCATACGAACTGCATACAAACATATGTACATACATATATGTATGTACATATGTAAATGTAACGCGTGAGTGAAGCGAATCCAAAAAGGGAGACCTTGTCCGGCTCAAGCGGCTGCTGTAGAATTCGCGTTTCATTTCTAGTTTCTAGTCGGCTTCTTGCTCTTCGTCGCGCTTTTCAAGGTCCAGTCCACGCACACTCGAGCAATTTTAGTGCCTGTTGAGATTTCCGCAACGCCATTTAAATTTTTTTTGTGTTTTGGTTATTTTGTTTTGTTTCTCTTTATTTTTATTTTGGTGTACGTGGTTGCCCCCCATCTTCGGCTCAGAGGCATCCGATGTGCATACATACATATACATACATACGTATACATATGTTTGTAAACACACACAATCCATCTCATCCATGATCCACTGCATCGCAGCAGAAGAGCAGCGGGCGCCGGCAGTGGTTCTTGTTGCTTTTGTAAAGTTTTTGTATGCGTTTTTTGGCACGTCGTCACACCGGCGACTGCGGCAGAGAACTCTGCTTGTCACCGTGGAAAGGCGTAGCTTGGCGTGGCGTGAGGGCTTCTCTTGTGCTTCCCACCCCTCCACTTTCCACTCTTTACATAAAATGACAGAAAATTTAATTGCGTCGTTCGTGTGAGTGGGAAAGAGGGAGATAGACACATGGTGTCCGTGTGCGCTTTCCAGTTGCCTGCACTGGCAGAACAACAGCGAGGTGAGCCTACGTGACTGTTTGCAACGCATCCTTATGATACCCTGTACTAGGTGGAGTTCGTGGATATGTTGTGTGAAATTTAGAATTATTCAACTCGAGTGAGTTCGACCGTGAGAGACTTCGTTGGACGGCTTTTTAATTCCATGGGTGCTTATCGAGTCTGAAGGATATTGTTTGACTAGCAAAAAGGAAGGGATGCTATTTGAACAGTAAAATCATATGTATGTGTGGTATGCAAATTCAGTTGTATATATGTACACACACATACACCATGTACCGCTAACAGGGTATCTTATTGTCGTAATGTGGTCTACAGCTCTTACACACTTGTTGAGTTTTTACTTTCGGGCACTACCTCGAAAGTGCTTTAAATTCGGAATTCTAGAACCGCATAAAGGTTAACAGGGCCCCACTGTTGTAAATTGAATTACAGCTGACGGTCGCCTTATCAGCGACCTGTTTATGCCGCTCCCCGTCTGGGTCTTGATAAAACCTCATCCATCCACCAAAAACAAAAGCCACACTCACACACACATGACTTTCTGACCATCGGAGGAGGATTTTGTAACCGAGATAAAAGCGAAATGAAAATTAGTTTCAGTTTAAAGATTAGGAGCCCCATCCCCACCCACCAACCAAAAAAAAAGGTAAATAAGGAGTAAATGAAAAACGTAAACAGATTTGGAAACCGCTTTTCGACATTTTTCGGGTAAATAAAATGGGTAAATATCATTATTATTGATTTGCCCACATCGTGCGCACAGTTTTATAGGCTCTGTGCCGGTCTGTTACCTAACATAGGTATGTACTTGCATATGTAAGATCCGCTTGGCTATGTTAATGGCAATTTTATGTAAATGTTAATGTAATACTAATGCTGGAATCGACCTTCGACAACGAAATATCATTCTAAGAAGGAGAGAAAAACAAAAAACAAATCACGACAGAAACATATGAACAATCTAAACAAATCTTCGAAAACTCTTAGGGGGCAGGCACACACATGTCTAAATTTTATGTGTAATCCACACCATGGTAAATATTTCTCCCCCCCACTTTAACCCTGATGCTGTCAGAGCGGCTGTCAGATGCTTCTCAAGTGATAAGTGGAAAGACGGCAGCAAGCAGCACTAGCCAGCGTAATTATGCCCTAAGAAAGGGGAAGAAAGCATACCCTGGATGTGCCATGGCACCAACCTGCCAAAGTAATTAACGATCGATGCTCTCAGTTTATCAATAACTTCGACCCCCAAAATCTATTATTTATTCCTATTGTCGTGCTATTTTTAGCCGGCAAATAGATTTTGGCCTTATCTGTGGCCCATCGAAAAGGAAAAGGCTACGGGAGTACGTACTTTGTGTAACGACGACGTTGCCACCGGCACGTTAGCACAATTTTTGTGCGTAAACAAAATTGTAAAAAAAAAGCGAGCACACAATAAACAACAACAAGAACGAGCGCCATTCACATATACATGAAGTTATCATAAACCATGGAACCGAACCCACTTACCAAAATCAATTTGATGGATGGCCAGGGCGCTGCGGGGCTACGTGAGATTGCCATCCGTTTTTGCTGGAAATAAAATTGGTTGCAATTTTTAAAATGAAATTGAATTGCCGCCATCGTATATCGATAGCTGTTATCGCTACTGGCCATTGGCCGCTTACCCACACTGTTTTAAGCGCGGTCTCTCAAATTGTTTGACGTTGAATCATAGAGCCTGCACCGCACCACAGGGCATTCCACCATGCTCCACTGATAACCAACCCCACTAACATAATGGGCCCTATAAAGCAGCCGCTAAGCGCAAGGGCTAAAGCCAAAAACCGAAAGCAATGCAACTCCGATGCATGGCCGTGATGTGCCTCGCGTTGGGCGCCTGCCTCGTGGACTCCCAGGACTATTGCCGGCCGGAACTCTGCCCCGTGGATACCTTGCACATTGCGTGCCGCAACCGTGGGGTAAATCGCCGACCAATAACCTTAACGATGCAGCCACAAACTGTCGTTTATTTTGTTCCCACCCCGCAGGACTTTTCCCGTTCGTGTCCTGCGGACGCCACTCGCTTGGACATTGATGAGGCGGCACGCAAGCAGCTGGTGGATGCACACAACACCCTGCGCCAGAAGTGGGCCAGCGGAGGAGGCACTGTTCGTAGAGCCGCCTGTCGCATGGCCACCATTTCGTGGGACCCAGAGCTGGCCCGCCTGGCCGAGCTCAATGCCAGGCAGTGCCTCTTGGAGCACGACAAGTGCCACAACACGCACAAGTACAGGCAATCCGGTCAGAATCTCTATATGGCGGGATTCGCTGGCATCATTCCCAGCGCCGTGGAGCGGATCCTCAAGCGTGCCACCGACGATTGGGCGGCCGAGGGCAATGACATCACAGCAGAGCAGCTGCAAGCCTTCCATCTGAGCGGACCGTAAGTCCAAGATGTCAATGAATATTGTGTGATCCACTGTGAGCCCTTGCTCTTCCCACAGGGACGTCACCCACTTTGCGGTGATGGCCAATGAGGCGAACGTGGCCGTGGGCTGTGCCGTGACGCGCTTCAAGCGGCAAGGCTTCCACCATTTCCTGGTGGCCTGCAACTATGCCACAGGCAACACACTGCGCAAGCCCGTGTACTCCGCCTGCTCGGCAGCAGGCGGCGCCTGCCAGACCAAAGCCAATCCCCAGTACTCCGCTCTGTGCTCAAAGGAGGAGCCCTTACAGTTCTAGCAGCAGCAGTAGTTCCCGATGCCTGGAGAGGTGTCCGTCTTGTGGTTGATTTTCGGATCTCCTTGATGGCATGGCCCCAGCACAAAGGCCTTCTCCTGATTTCAGCCTGATTTATGGTATTTATTGCTGCAAAGACAAAGATACATTGAGGATTGAGTTCCATCAGCTAACAGCTTCAACCTGCACTCGGACATTTCTAGAGTGATTTCTAGTTTGTTTGTTTGTTCTTTATTTACACAATAATAGTTTGCAGACACAAAAAATAATAATTACAATAATCATAATCATAATCGTAAACGTAAAGTAAAAAAAAAAGGATGATTTTCTTTTTCTACCAAGTAAAATGCGTTTTTTTTTTGTTGCTGTTGCCCCAAATGTGCATTTGGCTGTTGTCTTTTGTGACACATTGGCATAATACGTAAAGAGAAAAAAAAAGGTAAATGTCGTTTACAACGATCCTGCTATGATGGCGCCTGGTTTGAGAACTCAAATGTTGCGAGGAGTTGCGTGGGGTGCGGGAATGAGTGGGCCAAAGGCTGCGTCAGTGGTGCTGGGTGAGTGGTGTGGTGTGCTGTGGTGTGGAGACAGTCTGGCTGGCAAGCATGAGAAGAGACAAAGACTATGCTCACTGGATAGACGGTGATAACTGGTGGGGAATGCTGTGAGACAATTATTTACACTGAACAAAAATGAAAGAAGAAAGAAAGGAAAAACCCTGCGGAACCTTGTGCTTTGATCTCAGTTCTTTCTATGGCATCGGATGGCAGCTTTAAATTACTTTTTTCTTTAGGAATTGTATACTTAAATATCGAACATTTTGTTTTAAAATCACACTCAAAACAAACTTGATATATGGCAGCAGTATATGCCCGATTTATAACTTATTACCAAAAAGGAATTAAAGAATTAAATAAATCTAAGGACTGATTGAAGCGGTTCTACTGTGTGCCAGCACAAACTCTACTCGGTGCACAAATTTAGCATAAGCGAAAGGATACAGAGTCTTCCAATGGTAAACACTTTGCATAAACATTAACTGGAAAACTGCAGAGTCAAGTGGCGATTAGTGCAGTTTCAGAGCTGGCAACTAATTAACAAAAATAATCACAGATTATAAATTTAACAAACAAAAAACAGATTCTCGATTCGATTTGTAGGAGATGCTTGAGGAATGTTTTTCTATAGGATTATTCAGGGCATCCATCCATAATGGAAATGATCGTGAACAGTCCCTCCCTTGGCTGGAATTAACCCTGGATAAATGTTAGAGAAAGCGTTTGCAAACGCAGAGATTCGGGTATGCCTGTCGCTCTTAAACAAGTTTGGCGCTAAAAGACTGAACTTTCTTGCCACACTGCCCCACACACACACACACACACACCTTACACTCTTTTCGGTTTGCTGACAATCGTATAGTTCAGACCATTGTAGCTGCGATGATCCAAGGCAGATTCGTTGTTGCTTTTGTTCGTTGTTGCATTGCTGCTGTTGCTGTTGTTGTTGTTGCTAGAGATTCCAATGTTGTTGTTGTTGTTGCTATTATTATTATTGGCATTAGTTGATTTGCGTAAAACGCCATAACCCAAATGGCTATCATCGGCCTTGCGAAAGCTCTCGGTATCGGGACTAGCAATCAATTCGTACTCATTCGGGGGCGGCGGACTGCAGCGCAATCGATTGACGGGCAGCGTGACATTCACAATGGTCTTGTAGCCGCTGGATGTCTTGTTGTTGGGCGAGAGAAAGTCCAAGCGATCGTAGTTGGAGTCCGATGAGGACATGAGCACACCGACGCTGTTGTTGGGTGTCGCTGGTGACGACGTTACGCCCTCGCCAATGTCGATGTCGATGATCTTGGTGGTGCTGCTGCCACTGGACTTGGACGCCAGATCCTTGTGCTTGGACACGGATCGCTGGCGGACAAAGTCCGATGTGTCGCAGAGTATGGAGGGTATGCGCTCGCAGTGTCGGACATCGCCGACGCCCCGTGTGCGCCATGCCTCCGTTATGTTCTCGATGCACTCGTAGTCGCGCTCCAGCTGCGGCTTGGTGCTCTCGTTGCGCAGCGGCAGGTCCGGCGGTGTGCTGGAAATGCTCGAGGTGCTGCCAGAGCGCGAGGCGATCGTCTCCGGCGAGGGCGGCTTCAGGATCACCATGGAGGAGCCACTGCCGCCGCCATTCTTGCTGTTGGCATCCGAGGGCGAGGATGTCGTTATGGCAACAGGTTCATATTTCACAATATTCTTGTATTTATCACAATGGTTTTGGCTGCCAGGACCGCTGACGGGCACCAGGCCGCCCAGCTTGCGCGGCGGCTTGTTCGGAATGTGCTTGCTGCTGTTGGGCGGCACTGAGAGGGTGACGGAGGCAACGACACCGCCACCGCCAGCGCCGCCCGCTGCCGCCGCTCCTCCACTGCCGTTGCTCGCCGCAAAGTTATTCAGCGAATCATTCGAGCTAATGAATCCCCGCAACGATATGCAGCTCTGTGTCGAATTTATTTCAAATTCGCCAGCGTGCGGATTGCTCGATGGCGATGGCGGCAACGGGCTGCGTGAGCCCGGCTCCATGCCAGCGGCGGCACTGAACTGATTCTCACCGCACTCGATCGTGCTGAGGCTGTCGCCGCTGATCAGCTTCTTCATCGACTTCATCTTGGCGGACATGCAGCGGAACACCTCCTGCGGATTGGTGTGGTCCAGCGTGAAGACACCCTCGCCGGTGGTGCACTTGCGGCCCGCCTCGAAGGTGAACTTTCCATCACGGTAGCCATACTTGCGTATGAATCGATACGGCCACATGGCAATCGTTACATTCAGATCCTCCGACTTCAGTTGCAGCTCCGTGGGCGTCATCTGTAGCATGTACGTCTTCGGTTCAATGCTGCAGCGTATGGAGGCCTCCGAGGGTATCAGCGTAATCATGAACAGGCCATCCTGCAGGCAAGCAAAACCAACACGAATTAGGAATTAGGCAATTGGAGGAGTAGAAGACAAAGGCTGATTCCCATCAGCCATAATTTATACGTACAAATGAGCTGCAATACAGATCGTTATCCTCCTCGATGGCCCCTCCATGAACGGCATGTCCCCCGGCGGCTGTGTCACAAAAGGCGACAGTCTGTAGGGCTGTGATCCAATCCTTGAGCTCCTCATCGCTGTTGGTGTTGACGGTGAGTGTGCCATTGCGCTTGACAATGTGAATGAGCTTGTCCGGCGGTGGGTCCTGTGTGATCTTTACACAATTCTCGAGCGTGAATATCTTCGGATTCTTGTCGTCCTTGTTCTCGCACATCTCCAGGCGGGCAATGCCATGGCGACTGGCCTTGAACAGCAGGCAATATCGACTGCATGGCTTCTGCAAAAGAAAAAAATAAGGATATCCATGAGACGATGATTTAAGTGGATTGCAGGATCAGGCGATTTAGCACTTTACTGCTGGGAGAACGAACAGACAGCTGTTGAAGCCACGCTTAAAGGTCAATGTGGAGCTTTATTCCGAGCTCAAGTTCTAGGAGCATTTGGGAGACTCTTTGTGTTACATAACTCCTCATCATACGGAAATATCAAAATGTGCATTTGCTCCAGAGTCTACCACTTTATGGCGTGCTCAAGAATTTCCTGTCCACCAAACATAAGAAACACAACACACACACACACACATACAGAAATGAATACCACGAAACCTGGATGAATCGACGGACGACCAGCTGGTGGTGGCCTGTGTGCGTGCGTGTGCGCAAAGCGCAAATCAGCGACACTTATGTTGGCGGCATGGCCCGCTCTTGTATGTACGTCCCGCTCCCTCTGCCGTTGACAGGCATCATTTGTATGCAACAAGTACGAGGCTGGTATGTCCATCCCCTCCATGCACATGCAGATAGATGGCATGCACACAAACACACACACGCAACAAACAGTTGATCGTTCGTGTGTGTGTGTGTGTGTGTGTGTCCTGTCCTCTTCCTAACTTATCAAAAATGCGCATTTGGCACAAAAATATTCAAATTAAGATTCGAAATTGAATTGCAAAAACGAAACATATTCACATATATTGAATGGAATGGGGATGGCGAGGGATTGCGATTGGGATGTGCGGGAGAGAAAGAATTGCAGAATAGAGGAAGGAAGGAGTGCTGCCACACACAGGTTTCATACCTTTTTTGAGATGCGATTTAGCGAAAATCCAGTTTGTGTTGGAACATTAAGATATCCAGCCAAAACAGGTATTTCAACATCCATTCTGTGCTGCGTCCGTACCACCGCGCCGCGCCGCCTCACCACCACACCGTCGTCGTAGTCGCCGTCGCCGTCGTCGTCCCTCCCGTCGTCTCCTCTGTTGTCTTCGACCCGATCTATCCACACAATGCGCCTCGGATATTCCTCTACTGGATCGGTGTGGGCCTTTGCGTTGCGTCTGTTCTCATCCAATTTGGTCAATTCGCAGTAGATTTGATTTTGTGCTGGCATATGCAACGAGATTCCACTTCATATTTACATTTCACGGTAATTAAATTACAAAAAAAAACACAACCGAAGCTAAAATGTAAAACGAGCAGGCGATAACGATAACAGTATTTATTTATGCGCTTCACGGTTGCATGCGTCAACTGCAATCGATCGCCATCGATATGTACGTGTCGATATGTGCACCATTCTCTAAATGTATTGCAAAGTTTGCACAATATTTTGAATTAATTATTTAGCTGTTTAAATTAGGTGAAACCATTTCATTTGAATTTTAACATTTATATATTCATTCAGTTATGCAACACTGTTACTCATAAACGCGTAGCACTAACGCGTTTGTACCCGATATATCGTTACCGCGAGCAGTGCTATATCGATGTACGGGTGCCATCTCTATTATCAGGTTACACTGTTCGAGGCAAGAAATAATAATAACAATAATAATTAAAAGTGTAAGCAAAAGATAGCCATGGCCCACGACCGCGAGGTGTTGCGCATGATATGGGAGGGCCAGATTGGCATCTGCTTCCAGGCTGACCGCGACGAGATAGTGGGCATCAAGCCAGAGCCCTTCTACCTGATGGTCTCCCGCCTCAGCTACTTGCCGCTGGTCACCGATAAGGTAACAAAAACATCATACAAACGTCCAATTGCCAATTGCCAATTTGCCATTTCAAAACAAAACCCTTGCCCCCAACAGGTGCGCAAGTATTTCACCCGCTACATTGCCGCCGAGCATCAGGATGGTGCCGTTTGGTTCGACTACAACGGGACGCCGCTGCGGCTGCACTATCCAATTGGTGGGACAGTTGGCCTAAAATTCCTATTGCAAAATACTAATGCTTTGTTCTGGCTAGGTGTGCTGTACGATTTGCTGCATCCGGAGGAGGACTGCACACCCTGGGGCCTGACAATACATTTTTCCAAATTCCCAGAGGACACGCTGGTCAAAATGAATTCAAAGTATTAAGCGTAACAACCAAATGATGCACTTACTTATTCTGTGTCTGTGTTTTTGCAGGGAGCTGCTGGAGTCGCACTACATGTCTTGCCTGAAGGAAGCGGATGTGCTGAAACATCGCGGCCTGGTCATATCGGCCATGCAAAAGAAGGACCACAATCAGCTCTGGCTGGGCCTGATCAATGATAAATTTGATCAGTTTTGGGCAGTCAACAGACGCCTCATGGAGCCCTACGGCGACCAGGAGTCATTCAAAAACATTCCCGTTCGCCTCTACAACGATGATGTGAGTGGTAGGCGGGGGCACCTTTCGACCTTACAAATTCAATTCAATTGTGTGTCTGTGTTTCGATTTCATGGATCTGGATGGATTCCGCTTGGTCATTAATAGGATTTCACGTACACGCAAAAACTGATCTCGCCCATAATCGAAAGTGGACAAAAGAAGAGCCTCGCCGACCTGATGGCCGAATTATCAACACCTGAACGCAAAGCGGGTGAGTCCAGTCTACTGCCAACTGCCTAGGATTTTCCGGCTATCAATTACCACAGGCACTCTAAATGCAAGAGGCGATGGAGCATCACACAGCATCTCGTCTCGGTCTCTCTCTCTCTCTCTCTCTCTCTGTATCTGTTCGTCTATCTATTGTCAGAACCAGACCTAGCGTCTTTTAGAAATTAAGGAAAAGGTGCCAGTCAGTCTGGCCCGGCCAAGTGCATGTCTGTCTGACTTATTTATTTTTCTATTGAATAACACAAACGAGCTGTGCCGCACCGTACTGTGCCTCTCAGTCGCCGACTGCGATCCGCCCTGCAGCACACTGGCAATCATTCTTCAATTCATCAATGTCTCAGCGAAACAAAAACGTAAAATGAAAAAAAACAACCTTCTCATCCTCCTCCTCCTCCTCCTCCTCTTTTTGTATATGGAACAATGCCCCCGGGGGTATATAGAATAGACATGGACTATGGCTATAGCCTGCAGCATTCCAGGCAGGTTTCCTCAAATTCCCCTTTGGGCAAAACTATTCGGCCAAGTGTTCGTACGGTTCGGTCTCGGGCTCGGGCTCGGTCTCGGGCGAGCCATTCAGCCTGTAGACAAAACGAATGAAAAATCTATTCATTACAATGAAAAGTGCGTGTGGATTTTCTAGCGTCAGCAAAGAGCACGTTACATCGCTGTTGGGTTCCAGCCAGCCTGACCTGCGGCGCCGCGGCGACGACAATAGCATGATCAAGAGCGAGATGGCAAGCACATGGCGAGCAAGAGAGATGGAATGGTGAATATTCCACTTACTCCCACTTCCACTCCTCCTCCGACTCTCTCTCTCTCTCTCTCTCTCTGTGGATGGCTTAGGTGCAATAATAGCATTGGGAATTCCGAAAGACAGGCAAAAGGCGGAACTAAATACCTGCGGCTGGGATTTAGGAATTATACATGTATTTTTGTGTAGATTTTTCAGGAACCACTTGGTCAGGAAAAATATCTCTCGCTCTCTCCCGCTCTCTCTCTCTCTCTCTCTCTCTCTCTATCTCTGTGTGTCTCTTGGCTCTCTTCTATTCATTGACAATCGGCCGGGCAGTGGCTAAGATCCTTGGTTCTGTTTTTGGTGAGTCCATGTCCATATGTTACGGGCAGGTTGGGTATTTCCCCAGATGTCTTCGACGATGCATAGAGTGCAGCAGCAGCAGCAGCAGCACCCTGCCGGGTCCGTTCGGCCAAGGTGTGAAATTTTTATTTGCATGCTTATGGCCTTCTCTCGATCCAAGGAATTTCCACATTTGAAAGGTGAGAGGGTCTGCCTCGAGAACTCTAAACAAATGGCATTCGAAATCGTAGGGATAGAGAGAGAGAGTAGTGCTTCCAGTTTCAAACATCGATCAACACGTATTTTCCCAAAGGTCATCCATCCAACCATCCATCCACATGTTGCACACACTATCCTTCTCTCTCAATCTATCGCTGCCTGTGTCCTTGATGAACACCTACACACAGGCAGCTCCTTAGCACGCCTGGCTTAGGTGTGGGCCAATGCAACACGAAGAACATCATCCCATACCTATGCGAATCTCAGCCGCAATCATGGGATCGGGGATCAGCATTATTTATTGCGTACATCACCGGGGATTTGGGTTAAAAAGTTAAACCCAGGTCAATGTTGCGAACACTCTTTAAAGACAGCAGCATTTTGGGGGTTTACTTAGAGGCGCAAAACGAATCAGCCACCAAGTACCCCATAAAGCGTCACCGTCACCTTTCTCTACAATATTTGTGATCAAATTTAGAATCCTCTTTGTGTGGGTTCTATTGGAGAATTTTTTAAAATTAATTATTAAGGCATAACTTTCCTATTTTAGTTTTTTTTTTTGTTTCTTATACCCTTATTAATTGTGATTATAGAAAGATTTTCCATGGTATTCCATTATTTATAATCAGGATTTAAAGCAATTGGATTACTGGTTGCTTTAATTTATGTTTATTCGTACCTTTAAGGGGTTTTTAATTGATCTTTGAATGGACTTCTTTCCTTTTTAGTTCTGTATATTTATTTTATTTACAAGAGGTAACCAAGTTAACTTTTCCGATTTTAAAATCGAAAAAAAAAGTACAACTATCATTAATTATATTACAATTTTATTTCCCAAAAATATTGAATCAATCGTTCACTGTTTAGAGTATGTATTTCGCCACATAGGAACTCATCTAGCCGTAGGATCAGCAACAAATCTTTTATTTCAATTAACATTAACTGAAGGATGTCAGACTAGCATTCCTCATTTCATCAAAGAACATTGATTTAGGTGTAAGTTGTTGGTACTTCGCCAGGCCTCCTTTGTGTGCTGCTTATAAGAATATTATCACTAAAATAATACAATTTATGTACTATCCATTGCGTAGGGCTTTCCTTTGTGAAGATTATAAAAATCCCTCAAATTTCGCAATATCCTTTAAGGATATTGTTTTTACACATTTTGAAACTTTCAATTTGTTGGATGCTATTTGATTGTTAGGTCTTGAAGCAAATAGACTTCATACCCGATAAATATATGATATTCAGTACATTCCATATAGAGAGGGTTCCCTTTCCCTACCCCACCCGTTTACTCTTTTCCTCACTCCCTTCTATCAAATATCTTTTGCATTCACGGATACACAAATCCGAACTCAAATCAAACAGAAATGCATTCAAAACATGATCAATTTGTTGCTGCCTGGGGTGCCCCGAGGCCCATGGATTCGGATTGTGTGTGCTGTGTGTGTGTTGGGGAGGGGGTCGTGTCTGGGACGGGGACTGGGATTGGAGATGGTAACGATTGCACGTATTTGTAGTGCGTGCATTTTCATAGAAAATTGTATTTAAATTGAAATGAAATTCAAATATACAATGCACTCTCCGGCAATGGGACTGGGACCGGGGATCGCTCGTTCGTTCGTCGGTCGGTCGGTTGTTTGTTGGTTGGGTTGGTGTTCGACGGCGTTGGCGGCGGCGTTCGGGAACGTGAAAGGTTCAAAGTAGATGCGATTCCAAGAAATCAAAAAATGAAAAAGAATCAAAAAACGAAATCTACAAAAGCAACAACATGATGATGTTGAGGATGATGACGCTGACGTCGAGCCCTGGCAGTGGCAGTGGCAGAGGTAGGCTGCGACTGCGGCAGAGAATCTAAGACGCTTCAAAAATAAAAGAAACGCATTTCTTTTGGCTTTTGCCTTTGCCTTCTCTCTTCTTCACTGTTCTCCATTTTTCATTCTCCATTCCTTCCCCCATTCCTCTTTCTCCTTCACTTCATCGTTGGCTTCTACTCCTGCTGCTGCTGCTGCTGGTGGTTCGTGCGGCTGAGGAGGCGCTTTCATGATTTGCCGCCGGCTGCGCACTGCACTCTGCAGCAGCGGATCTCTCCCGCTCTCTCTCTCTCTCTCTCGGTCTCTTACTCGCTGCTGTTCACCGGAAAGCAGCAACAACAGCAACACATTTTTGTTGTTTTGTTTTTTGTTTTTTGGTGGCGTTGGCGTTCCGACAGCGACGCCAACTCCACGCCAAATGTGCATGAGGCTCGCTGCAACTGTGTGCAAAAGTGTATTTCAAGAAAAGGTGAGGCGCTCTCCAAAGAGTCCGCTCACGAGATTTGCATGCACAAACAGCACAGGGAGAGTTGCTAACAAATTATGCCACTCGATGAGCGGCAATACCTCACCTGCTGTTTTGATGCTTATTTACTATATGTGTGTGTGTGTGTGCATGTGTTTGTGTTTGTATTTGTGTAGGGTGTCTGCTCTTTCGAATGTGTGAAAAGGAAGTTCTGAGATATCACCTCCGCTTATTTGTATTTACACCTTCGCCATCACCTCGCCGCGTCTCACCTTGTCTCACCGCCACCTCCTCCTCCTCCACCACACTCCACACCTCATCTCCTTTCCCCACCTCCTGCTGCTGCTACCCTCCTTATCCTCATCATCCTACTTGTGTTGTGTGCAGTGCGCGAGAACTCCAGTGAAACGGCGGCGCACGGAAATCGCACCTCAATGTTTATCACTCTCTGCCCTCTGCCTTTGCCTTTGCCTTTGCTTCTGCCCTGCACTGCCTGGCTCTCTTGCATCTCTTTATGGCAGCTCTTGGGTCTCTCCCCCTGCCATTCTCTCGTTTGCACTCCTCACTTATTGCATTTGCTTAGTCCCATTTCGACACATTTTCGTTTGCATTTCGTCAATCAGACAAACACAATGGCAACCTGCAAAAATGGGAAGGAGACACAAAGCAGCGCCTGGCATGGCCTGGCCTGCCTGCCATGCCATCTCTTTTGTGCATGTGTCCATGTGTCCGTGTGCAAGTGTGTGTGTTGTGTGACAATTGGCCATGCCACGCCTTAGTTTTTGGGTGGGCTAATATGCAGCAGCCGCAGGAGCAGCTGTGTGTACACAACCCCTGTAGGTGGGCATCAGGTGGGTGAACAAATCATAGTAAATCCTAGTGATTCAATAATACGTAGAGCGAAGAGGAAGGAACCTTTGGGAATCATAGATCGTTCGAGGATGCACCTTGATTGATCTTTACAGCTGAAATGGAAATATTTTTCATTAATTTATTACTCTTGATTAGACGGCGGACATGGCCATATCTACCTGAAAACTGAACTATACGAATCGGAAATACCTTCAAGAAACTCTTCCACTTTCAGATGGAATAGAGATATGCCAAAGACTCATTCCCAGCGGAGCCTCATATTGAGGAAATTCATCCCCAGATCCGCAATACTCTTAAGATTTAAAGTTGTCTTTGGATTTTCGAGCTATTAAAATTTGAGAATGATTCAAAGTATTTTTAGCCCTCTGGGTCTTATGCCAGAAATCGGAGATCATTATGATGGCTCCTCTTCTGTGTGGAGCTTCCTTCCATACAACTATGTAGTGCTGTAGATTCCATCGTTTCTCGCCTCTCACTCTTCTCGGATTGCAACAATGTTTTCTTTTTTGTCTGGTGGATCCGGATCGGATCGTCAATTGCTATCTATGTGTGCATATGCCTTCCCTCTTTCGCAGCCCCACACCCCAGCCAACTGTAGCGTCAGCGAGTTTTGATTCTCATTACTCTCGCTGGCGCGGAGACCCGCCGGTTGACAATGTTGCTGTATGAAAATAAACCAAATTATAATTGAAATTAATACCAGCTAAACCCCTCATCTTCCTCTCCCAACCTCCGCCAGCGAATATGGCTTGCATAAGAAAAGAGAGAGAAGAAGAGCAATAAAAACAAAGAGTCAACGCTGCAATAAAGTGCATCGACAATAGGATACCCGGTACATGCTCGATTATTAAATTGTTTGATGTTTTATGCCACTTCAACCATCATTTGATCCCGAAAATCATCGACTTTGACGTTAGACACAAAAAAAGAGTTTCCAAAATTGAATGTTCTTCGATGACACCCTTCAATTATGTGTCACATTCCGTTGCATGAGCACAACAGACCCCATCCCTCTACCGAATACCGTGCAAATTGATTAGCGGGTTGGCTCCTCTGTATCTCACTCGCTCTCGCCCTCATTCACTCTCTGTCTGCATCTCTCTCTATCCATCACGCTAGCACTTTTTAATGGCGTCACTGAACCGCAAATTTCTTTTCTCAGAGAGGGGAAGTGGAGTGTGGAGTGGGAGTAGAGCGGCGAAACGTTTAGAATTGAAACGATCGGTGGATCGTTGGTTCGGTCGGTCGGTCGGTCGGTCGTTTCGCCGGGCACTTTTTATGGCTTTATGGAACACAATCTATTAAATGATTATGATGATTGGGCATTGGGCGTTCGCCTTATCGAAGTCATTCAACATTCAACAGTTTTGGCTGCGTTTTTGGTTTATTTTTAGGCATGAGCTATTACTTACCGCTCCTCCTCTCCCCTTTGTGGGCAAAGGCACCGCTACCGCTTTCGTTCCCGCACCCCATCACCCCAAAGTGTTGTGCTGTTGACGATAATAAAAATGGGATCAATAAATTTTCAGACGGTTTGGCGCCACTGTCGCTCTCCCTCTGTCACTCTTTGGGGTCCGGCCCTCTCGAAATGTTGTTGATTTCTGTTTCTGTTTGCTGTCGCCAAGATCCAAAAAATATATCTTCATGTATTTATATGTATCTTTATAAGTACTCATGTCAATGGGGTTTTGTCTCAGTTTAATAGTTTATATCGTTCAGGTTGGTTTCTTTGGAATGATTTATGATCTCTGGGAATTGGAGTAGTCTTCTTTGATTTTTAGTGGTCTTGGAACATATTCCTTTATTTAAAGATCCAAAATGGGGATCTCTTTAAGTGCACCTTCCTGTGGGGTTTCTCTGATGTTTGTGGTTTTTCTTTATTTTGTTATATTTTTATTTGTTTATTCTCTCTAATCTATAACATTTTAGAGTGTCAACGTTCTCTTTATTCCATCATAATAGCTAAGATGGGACACATTTGATCTGTATATCCTTGGATCCACAACCCATTTGGTATTCGCTTGGAATTTTCGCTTCCCTTTTAATCCCACGAACATAACCAATACTACAGCCCACATCTACTGATTTCATTTGTTTCCCATACTTCCACTTGAACGCGATTTGATTCCGTTTATTAATACTTGCTCGTAATTTTTGGGAGCGCCATCATTCGCTTGGTCATTAAACTCGTGACTTGGTCACAGCCATAGCCCCTGTCCGCTGTCCGCTGGCTGCTACTGAATCTGAATCCGAATCAGAATCGGAATAACATCGAATGGAGTACAGTACATACTCGTACACATACAAACATTATATTGTATCATATCGTATGCGTATGCGCCCTACTTGAACTCGCCCCGTTGCACAAATCTTATCTCTGTCCAACACTCATTCGCCTCCCACTGTATGTAATCAGCCATTATCACTATCAGAGTAGGAATACTCACCACAAACCTGCTCTCTATACTCGTGCATACATATGTACATATATTATATGGCCCACGACTTGGACTTGCAAACAAATATACCTACCAGTAAGTACTAGGAAACGAAAAAAAAAAACAAAATCAACTTTCAATGGGTGGGCTCTGGTGGGGTAGAGGGAGACGACGCACTCTGCGCGCAACCGGCAGGCAGGCAATTGGCAATCCGGCCATAGCTTCAAATCGAGAATCGACAATCGGCGATCGGCAATCTATAATTACAGTTCATATGCTATAATTAAAAATGACGAAATTTGTGTTGAATTGTTCAACCAGCAAACACTTGGCGACTGCTGTTAACACTTGTCGATAACGCAGCAAACTTTGATTTCCATGCGAAAGCAATTTGAAGAACTCTCAACACGCCATGAAGTGTACTTCCTCCATGGGGAGGGACACGACTCTGTGCGCTAATTATGGATTACCGCCCTACCACTTACCAATCATAATCGGATGTACCGAGTGAGTCTGAGCTAGAGAAAGGGCGGTCGGAGTGTGGGACAATCGTTATCAAAGCCGCTGTTGAAGTAATCGCTGGCTGATCTCATTCATTATAATATATGTGCATGTAATAGGCTGCATTTATTAAGACTACGATCAGAGCTGTCTCTCTCATTAATGAAAATACTGATTGCAAATCATTTATATAATTATAGCCTACATGCCTAGGGTAGTCACTGCTGTCTAGAGTCGAGATACAGCCTCGTACTGCTATGATCTGGGTACACTATCACATGTCCTGGGTGGCTTTTAAAGATCGAATCAGGGAAATGACAATGAAAATCGCTCAATAAATAGTTGTAAAACAATTGGAATTGTGAGAGTATGTATTTATCTATATTCTTTTTGATTTTGTGTATTTTTCAGTTGGATTTCGCACCCATGGAATCGATCTGCACGAGGAGACGCAGGTGCAATGGATGTCCGAGCACCTGAGTTATCCTGACAATTTTCTGCATTTATCTGTGGACTACAAGGATGTCTAGCCATAACTCCCTTTCTTCTGTGTGTGTGTGTGGGTGTGTGTGCATATATACTCGAAATCGTATTGTCCCAGTCCATATATGCATGTATGGTATTTTCCACCCATATTTGATTCCAGCGTTCCCAGGGCGATCGCATGCGATCGATTTATATAGTAATTTGTACACATACATACATACGTACCCATATTTGTGTATGTATATGTATAGTTTTTTAAGCAAAACAAAAAGTGTGTGTAATATTTATGAGCCTATAGCATTTAATGAAAGCCACAAAACAATAAGCGAACCAAAAACCAAAACAATTACTGCAACCACATATAGTCACAGATGGATGGATGGATGGATGGATGGAAGGATCGGAACAGCGGAGAAGATCTACCCCAGCTACCTAATTCATCGTTCATCGATCATTTTCAATTAGATATCTATAAGCCGCCGGAAACTGGTCAAGCCCTTGCACCAACAAGCCAACAAACATAACATTTTCAGCTATCAATTTCGATTTATCCGTTTGTCAGATAGTGACTGACGGAACGGGACAGAATTGGGTCTGGAATGGCTCCTACTTTTGGTCCCGCTATCGGTCTCGGTCTGGCTTTACCGGCGGACCTTGCACAATATTTTAGCCAAGGCCCAAAATCGATGATCTTGTTGTGTCGCCACTCCACGAAACTTATTTGAAGAGCATCGATTTGACACTGTCAGCAGAGGGGAGGAATCGAGCCCGATCTATAATTAGTCAACGCTTTTGCCCCCACTCGAGAATGATTTATTCGATTGTTCGATTGTTATTTGTATCGTATGTCTGGGCCAACAAAACCCAAAAGTGGCCCAAAAACTGAATCCAAAAATAAACTGCAAATCTGATAAAAAAAAAAGCAAAAGCCAAATTTAAAGTCAATTTTCAAATGAATTATTAGTTCAAATCGGTTGCTGGCAGACTGTTGCTGGGGAGTTACCCTTATCGATGGAACTGATGGATACGCCAGACTGTGACCAAAACATTGATGGATCCCCTAGACGATAGATCTGTCGGAGAATGATTCTGATTGATCTTTAGTTGAGGATCAGCTAGAGGGGTTCTAGCATAGATATGGGAAGTGATCAACCTGAAGCAGAATTTCACAATCTCTTCAGCAGAAGAGCGTTTCATCTGAGCGAAATGTAGGAATTCATATAACAGATTATGTCACGATCGTATGTGAAATCGCCCGACAATGGTTCCCCCTGGTTACAGCATCACATCAAAGAACCCAGAACCTGCTTGATCAATAACAAACAATATCAAACTTACACACACTTATATCCATAGGTATTTACATGTAGTACATAGCTTGATGCATGTGTATATAGAAATAGACGATCGCCATCTGCAATGCACTCGAGACTGGGACTCAGGTGTCACTTCCCACTTCCCACGTCCCGTGTACTGTGTGTACCATATCCCACGCTACCTCATCCTTCCTCCTCTCTCTCTCTCTGCGTTACTTTGTAAACTTTGGCTGCATGCCCCCGGTGGCTGCTGATGCAAGTCAAAATATATACATATATAAGTATTTCTGTGGGGGTACGAAAATTGTCACGTGGCTTGGATTTGCAACAACAACAACAACAACAGGTACAGTAGCCCGTACAGCAAAGCAACAAATAAAACAACAACAACAAAAACGGCGAGAAAAAGTTGACACGGCAACGCGGAACGAAGAGAGCAAAACCGAAACGAAAATAAATCGAAATTTTGCAATTTTCTGCGGTTGTTCCGCCACCCCCATCCGCAAACCGTTCACCGTTTACCATTTACCATTCCTTTAATTTGTCTCACTCCCCCCCAGCTCCCTCTTTACCATTCTACTCCCCGATTTTCACGTGTGGGCTTTTTTATCTGTCTCTGTTGCATTTCGCCGTGGCTCTCTCATTCGCTTCGTTCCTTTATAATCCCAGTAAGCTCCTCTCTCTCTCTCTCTCTTCTCTGACTGTCACCAGTGCTTCCGATGTGCTCCTGTTCCTTGGTTCAATGTCCCTACTCTATTCCAGTTCCATTTGTTCATCATTGCTTTTGGGTTTCCTCCGTTCCCTTCTCGCATCCAGTTCCATGTGTGTTCTGGTTCCTGTACTCTTCAGTTATGTTTGCCCTTATGCTCGTTCATCTTCTCATTTTGTACCTTTACCAATTCAACCTTGTGGTTCCACCTTCCTATGCATATTCCCCTCCACCATTTTGTTTATTGTTCTACGCCAAATGTGTTCCTCCTCATCTCAAAATGTTCTCTTTCCCACCCATTCTAAGATCATTGACTACGTGGGAACGATCACCTGAACGAGGAAATCACATGCAGATCCAAAACGAACCGCATCTCGATATTCCCCTCCCTTTTGCAATACCCTTTCTCTGGGCAGGGGTATCCCCCCCCCGCCCGTTCGTCCATCTGTTGATCTCAAAATGTCGCAAAAATTCTTTGGCAGCGCTCACTTTGACTGTGGATACTCTATGCTCGGGGATCTACTTGTAGTTCGCTTTTGTTGTTGTTGCCTTCCTCTCAAGAAATCGTTCAATGCGAAAAGGGAAGAAAAAAGATCGCGTAAAAAACAATGAGTATGCCTCTCGTTCGCTTGAGGCGACGGCGACGGCGACGGCGACGGTGGTGGTGCGCTGCTCTGGTGGTGCCGATCGTGGTGCTGATGCTGATTCTGATTCTGAATCTGAATCTGTTGATGCTGCTTGTGGTGGTATGGTGTGGTGTAGTGGTGGTGGCTCGGGGCTCGTGATTGGCGCACACATTGGCAAACGAGAGCACTTTATTTTTAAACGTTTTAAAAATACGATCATTATAGAATTTGCGGCTTAGTCATACCCCTCTGCGGCAGCATAGCCAAAATGTGCCAAGCGATTTGACCAGAACCAAGTCGTGGCGGTACGGAACCAAACGAAACGCACAGATGGGCTGGGGGTGGATGTAGGGGTGTACGTGAAAGTCTCGCCAAAAAGCCTTAAAGCTCTGGCCTACGAGCATGAGTTGTCACAGTTGCGTTGCGACATGCGAATGAATATTCGAAATTGAAAACAATTTGTGTGCCGTGAAAGATCAAACAATGTTGATTTCTACTACACAAGAAAGGCGCGCCTAACCTCACTTAATCATCATACAAATGATGATCCAAATAATCCAAACTCTTGACATTAGGACATCCATCAAGTGCAGTAAATGTCCATTGGATTTGCTTAGTAATATCTCTAGAATGTACGAGCACTCGTAGAACCAGAAATCGTTACGATCTGAAGATGATCATGCGTTGAGGATAAGCACAGATTCTCTTTCCAAATCAAATGATTCGTTTCCCACATATCGATCCATTGCATTATCTAAACAAAACAACAAACTGTTCTAATGGAACATTCCTCATTTGATCATAGGAAAATGCCATGCGAATGCGTTGAAGCGGGAATTTGCTTTTAAAATGGGTTACGACTGATCGTTCACAGGTTCGTCGATTGTAATCTACAAATACTTATAGAAAGAATTCCATGAATTGAATAGACTGGCCCATCAGTTGAAGATGCTCTTGGAATGAATTTTAAGCTTTGATTTGTGAATTTTTCCAGGCCACAGTGGGAGTGGCCTACCACCAATGAGAAAACCAGCTGAATTGTTTTTTTTCAGTTACTAATTTTTAATTAATCCATTTTTCATTATTTTGTTGGTAGTTTTTCAGGCTCTTTCTTCTGTTTGTTGCTGCATGTGGTCACAAATGTTACAATTATTGTTATTGTTATTGTTATTGTTGCTATCGTTGCTCTCTTGTCAAATGTTTAATATATAAAAATACTGATTTTTATATATTTAATATGTTATATCTAGGCATTTAAATAGGCTTCCTTACACAGATATCCCATTGATGCACTCAGAAAAAAAAAAGAAACATTTCCATCTTAATTGTTTTCTTCTGTCGTTGTATATAAATATATTGTATATATGTATGCATTTATGTATGTTGTATATAATTGTTATGAATTTTTTAAATGTAATTCCGTAACTATTCAGATATAGTAATGTATTTTTGTATATATGTATATAAATCTAATGTTCTGGCTCTCATTTGTTGTTATGGTTTGTTGGGTGTAAATATATTTTTGTAGTTATCTCTATAATTCATTAAGCTTCAGTTTTCAACAGTTTTGTTTAAAATTTGTTTGTTGTTTTTTTTTATTAAATTTTGTATTTTTGTTTTGTATATCACAAGAATTTTCAATTTTCAATTTTCCATTTTCCAAAAGAAAAAACAAAAACAAAACCCTTACACATAAGAGCTCTGCGCGCGTGCGTGTGTGTGTTGTTTGTGTGTGTTTTTTGTGTGTAAAAGTGTGTGTATGTTTTGTTGTTTTTAAAGCTTGACTCTTAACAATTTTATTCTCTCAGTTTTTCCAGTTGCAGTTTCACAATTTTCCCTCTCGTCTACCCCCTACCATCTTTTCTATTCTTTACGTTTGTTTTTTAATGAAATTCTTGGGGCGAAAAAATGAATATGTTCCGGCGCGCCTTTACTGCCGTCTGTTATCCGATTTTGTACACAATAAAATTAATTATTTACACTTTCCGACGCTAACATAAAAAGGGTTTAAAGTTTAACATTACATTTAATTTCTTAAATTATACAAAAAAAAGAATAATAATATATGTTTTAGACCATAATTCGGGGTTTAATGACAAAAAAAAATAATTATCCATCT